AACATTCTGTCAAAGGACTTGTCTAATTAAATTGAATTCATATGAACTCTTTTTATGATTAAAAGGATATGGACTGGTTACAAAAGAAGAGTATATCATGTGGTTTAAACCCCAGCGATGATACTCTTAATTTACTGAGGAAAAAAAATTTGTTCAAGGGAATTAATTCTTACCATAAAACCAAGGAGACTGACCTCAGAATTTTAAAAATTAATGCCTGAAGTTCACCTCATAGATTCTGACTTAAATGGCTTAGAAAAAGGGTCCAATATTGAATGATTTCTAAAGTACTGTAGGCATTCCTAATGTCAAATTTAAGAGCCACTGCAAGAATATATGACCATAAAGTGAAAATTAAAAATGCATGGGAGGTCATTGATTTCAAGCAGCATACTAGAATATGATTTCATCCATTGATGGAAGCACATCAACACATCTGTTTCTCAGCAGAGAAAAAGCTAAAATAGCAGACAGAGATTATTAACTGAACAGCATAAAGGTTCCTAGAAGAATAGCAATAAAAATTAATTTTAGGAAAATTAATGAATATATACAATCCAATAAAATTTTTCCAGAGTTAATTATGAAGGACAAGAAGTAACCTATTGTAGACTACAGAGGACATAGGCTATATAGTTTTAATTTAATTTGCTACTAAATGCCAATAAAATTGTAAAGGAAATTTAAATTACTTGAACAACACAATGGAAAATGAATCTAGGAAAATGACAGTCTATTAAAAAACTTGAATTATTGTTAATCTGTCTTCAGCCATACCCCAGATGTCTATTCTGACATAAAATTAATTTCTACTTTTTAGAAGAGGGTCCAAAATTCTAAAGACAGAATTTTGAATAATAATAACATAACCATTGTTAGTAACACTGAGTGTTAAAGAGTTATCAATATATATGGTTCTAATATTTAGTTATTTATTTATTATTTTTTGTATTTTTAAGGGAAGGATCTATGGGATGTTCAGGGCCTCACTACTAGATCAAACTTGTAGTGATCTGCCTGTTAACAGCCTCCCAAGAGCTGGGATTACAGGCGTGTGCCACCATGCCCAGTATCAATTACCATCTCAGCACGTCTCAGGGGCAAGGCCAACGTGGCAGGCCCAGGGATTGAGTCCCCAGTCCCTATGCCTGCTTTTAGGCACTTTAATCTGCAGAGCTATTTGGCCAGCCCTGGTTGTAATATTTAAAATGATCATTTATCAATTCTTTCTGTATCTACTAATACTGAAACATATTTACTACTCTTAGTTTATAAAAGATTTATATATATGTGAAAATGCAGTTTTAGGAGAGATCTCAAAAATTTAAAATTTTTTAAAAATTAGCAGTACAAAACAGCCCTAACCAATTATTTTATAAAAAACTCTTGTCAAAGCCGGGGGTGGCTGTACAGTCTTGTAATCCTAACACTCTGGAAAGTTGCAGCAGGACTATTGCAAGTTCAAGCTTATGCTGGGAAATTTAGCAACCCAGTGATAGATACCCTGTTTCCAAATAAAGAAAAGAAGGACTAGGGATGTATTTAAAAATGCAGAAACTTGAGCTTTGTTCTCCAGAACAGATACACAAATTCTTATAAAGAAAATCCATTTTTCTTTAACATACATTCACGTGGTTATAGGGATTGGAAAGGCTCTTTTTCTGGTCATGACTGACCAGGTCGTTTCAAACTTGCTGTAAGGACTACTGAATAGAGAGACTGCTATGCATAAGAAGCATAATTATCTTTGTAAGATGATTGAAAAAGTCTCATAATAATTTTGACTGTGGGTTATATGGGATCTGGGCAAGTAACTATGTAGGACAGAGACAGACTTTTGTGTTGTAATGAATCAGTCTTGCACTTAACCTAGCTAATCTTTACATTAATGAATTGGATTAAAAACTTAGTTATTTGATGAGCCGTAATTTTAACAAATTAAAAAAAAACATTCAACATTCACTATGTCCCATGAGATACGTAGGAAAACCAAGGAGGAATTGTTTACATGATTAATTACATTTCCCAATGATATTGGCACATTGAGACTCTAGGTAAAAAATAGAAAAATTCCTAATTGAAGGTCAAAGAATCAAATTTTCAGAGGCAGAGTGGTAGATATTTGGCTAGATTAATTCCTCACGGAGATATCGTTTTACTCAATCAAAATGTCAAAGCAAGTGAAAAGCACAATGGGAATGGCTTAATCAATGAAGCAAAAATGTGCTGTTTCAAAGTGTTAGTCACTGTCATTGTTAGAACTCAACTTGAAATATTGGGTTAATCCTGGACACTTTCCTTAAAATAGGTCATTAAGTACCCTAAATCAGTCAAAGATAGCATCTTAAATTAGTGGGTGCAATAGGACTACAAAATTAAATGTTTAGATTGGGGAAAATGAAAAGTGAAATGCAGAAGAATATAAGTAATTCCTTTTCTTCCAGAGGACAGTCATTTTATATGTAGTGTGCTTAAAATCTATGGTGGATATTTGAATTAAAATGATTTATTATTATTTTTTAATGTTTTTAGTACAGAGTCTACAGGGTCTCACTACTCAGATAGGACTCATAATGATCCTCTTTTTTTCAGTCTACCAAGTGCTGGGATTACAGGTGCATGATACAACCCAGTCCTGTGGCCATCTCAGCAAGCCCCAGGGGCAGGGCTGGCACAGTTCCTGCACCTGCCTAAGCATGTGCTTAAGTCTGCTGAGCTGTCTGGCTGGCCCAAAAGAACTTTTTACATTTAAATGAAACATGACCATTAATCCTCCTCAAAATGCTCCATTTCACTATGAACTAACTAAGTCTCAGGACATAAGAGAACCTGTACTGTAATTCAGTTGTGGCCCAAATCTTCTGATCAAGGAGATTATGGGACCACAGAGGAAAGTGATCGCTGATGTAGAGTGTGCCTAAGGAGAGTCACATGGAGAGAAAACATTCTCTCAGGCTTTCACAGAGAGCAAACTGGTCAAGCAATGGCCGTGACTCATCCACATGGCTGACACTGACAAAGGATCTGCAAACTGTGGTACAGGGTTACAGGCTAAATCCTGAGGGTACTTGACTGACCTTATCAGGTACAAAACTTACATTTCTTGTTATATAGTCTTGCTTTATCTTGGTCTTAACCATCCAGCAGAAAAATATAAAAACAAAATATAAAAAGTAAAGCTATATTAATATGCTGAGCTATAAAAGGCTTAAGTCAACAACTTCTGACATTGCCAATCTTACAGAAAACCCACTACTATTATGGATTACTGGACTATATTGGAATATTTTGCTGAATTCACATACCTACAATATTTAAATGACAATGGAATACCCTTCTCTGACAAAACTAAGCAAAAAAAAGGGATATAAATGAAGGACCATTTTGTATCTGTATATTCAAAATAGTTAGGATAGATATACAGCTGCATTCTCTTAATTCAATGAATATAGAGATTTGTTCTAATAGTGTTTGTGGACAGGATATCATGTCTACTTCTTGTACAATGAATAATCACTAAGACAACAATTTGCAATGTATTAATTATTGAAACTGTGCTAGTAATCTGTTTTAAAATGGTTTCATTTCTATTTGTTTCTCAATAAAATTATTAAAACAAACAAAGAGAACAGAAAACTTGCAGGTGGTCCTCTTGTGAGTAAGAGGCAGAGCCTAGAGGAGAGTGCAAAAGTCCGATGCTGGCGTTTGCTGGGGTTTTGGAGCAGGTGCTCAGGCCCTTTGCTTGGACCCTTTCGCCCTGGTCAGCCTCCATTCTGTAAGCACAGGTGCTTGTGTGGCTACTCTCCTGTTTTGTTCTCAGGATGCTTACTGTGACTCATCTCATTGGAATGCAGGGAGCTAGAAGGAATGAAAAGGTAGGAAAAGTGATCATTTAATGTTGTCTGGATTTGGAGTAACCTGTCTTCTAAGCAAAGATTCGGTGTTTATCCCCTATTGTACACTGATAAATATGTGTCATATATGTATTTTTATTATATTTAAGTAAGAATCTCATATCTGTTAACTTTATCTACTCTAATACCATTTGGTTTATTTCACCAAAAAGCCAGAGAGAGAGAACAAGAATAAATTAATTTTCCACTGGTACTACGACAAATGACAACAGGTGGAGCAGGGTTGAAATAACATTGATTTATATTATTTTTTGCCTTCTAGGCTGAAATTCTGACACAGCACTCACTGAGCTAATATCAAGGTTTTGGCCGGAGGACTGCTCCTTTATGGAGGCTCCAGGGAGAATCCACTCCTCACCTTTTCCATGGTTTTTGGATCATGGCCCCTTTTCACCTCTTTGTCAGCTAGAAACCTAGGAAGCGTCCTCACACTCCAACACTCTGATCTTTTTTTCTGCCTTTCTCTTCCACATTTAAAGAGTCTTCTGACTATATTGGTCTCACATAAGTAAACAAGCACCTGAAGTTCTCCATATAATAATACTTGCCTAAATTGGTTTTTGCTGGTAAAATGCCATATCTACTTAGGTGTGGTGATGCATGCCTATAATGTCAGCATTCAGGAAGCCCAAGGAAGGTGGGCTGTGAGTTCAAGCCCATCCTGGACAACCTAGTGATTTTGTGAGAACTTGTCTCAAAATAGTAGTAAAAAAAAAAAAAAAAGTAAAAGGGGGGACAGGGATGCAGCTCAATGTGAAGGCCCTGACTTAAATTTCCAGTAATGGAAAAAATACTATCACATTAAGCAAAAACATCATAATCTACTATAAGCCATTCTGAAGGTGAAGCCCTATTCTGAGGACTTGGATAAAATATAATGCCTTCCCAGGAGGAGCTGAAAAGTTAGGAAGTATTTAAGTAGATAACCGAAACATAAAATGATAACTTCTGGGACAGAAGTAGGAAGCAAGTGTAGCGCTGATAAAAACAATTATGTTCTGGGGGCAAGAGTAAGCTAGAAAAATAGTTGTCAAAAATTAGAATTCTCCATGACATATTTATATAATCTCATGGCTTTTCCTGTAGGTTTTGAGGCTCTGGGATATTCACCACCAACTGTCCATCCAGAGGCTCGCTTGCTCTTTCCCCAGAAGTAAGGACTTCAGATGTCTCTTCTGCTTTGACGAAACCCACGGGCGGCTTTTCATCGCTTTTAATAACCAACTAGCATTGTTGGCAATGAAAAATGAGCCGAGCAAGAGGGTGAAAAGCCATCAAAAGCCTGTGACGTGTGTTCTTTACAATTCACTCTTGAAGCAGGTAATGATGTTTCTGTTCTGCCACTCACCAAAGACATCCCCAAGTCCAGAACCTCCTTTCTTTATTTTGGTCCAGTACAAAATTGAAAACAAACCTAGAAAAAATGACTTGGTGGCTGTGTGCTTTTTGGAAAGAATGTGTTTCCAGGGGGACTTGAGGGGGATTTCATTTTGAGCCTGTCACTACAGCAGCACTGATAGAGTTATGAGGAATTACAGCATTCCAGCTAAAACAAATAGAGCACATAATGCAATTGAACTTATCTTTGTGACACATTAGTCTGGGTCTTGAGCCAAATGCAAGTGAACCTGGTTGTAAAATTCCCCTTTATGAACACTGTCCTCCTGTATCCCTGCGGAAAGTTCTGAAATATGCATGAAATGTAATTAGCACAGATCCGTTCGCCAGCATATTTTACACGAGTGATTCACAGTGGCAGCCAGAATGTATTCATAATAAAATGATTCAGTTAAATGTGACGCCACTTGGTATGCAGCGTAAGGGCTGTTTGTCTCCTCACCTCTTTGATGACGCTCCACAGCCATTGCTTATGGGAGTGCTACCTGCATCTCAATGAAGAGGCTCTGCTCCCTGGCACAGATGTTGCACAGACCATGGCCTTTCACAGGGGACAGGGAGGTACAGCTGGCAGAGCTGGCAGAGCTGGCAGAGCTGGGTGTGGGGCAGCCTGTGGGTCGGATGCAGGAGCCACAGCATCGGAGGTCACTTTAGTACTCTGAATACCTCAGGCCTGATACTGGCAGTGCAGCAGGGGCTGAACAGAAAGCAAGTCTCCAGCTTGTGGCCAATTAAGCAATAACTTTAACCCATTTTTTCCTTTCCCATCTAAAGAAGCTTCTGTAGAGCTCCCAGAAATGAGTGGCTCAGATTCTTCTGTGCACGGGGTGGAAAGTCCTTTGTTTGTAATGAGTATGTGTCATGTCACTGCTTCAAACACTCTGTTTTCTGGTTATTCTAGGAGATAAAATCCTTTACAAAGCATCTCCCACAAACCTTTTACTGAACTTTATGAAGACAGCCAGTTAATTTAGCTCCCTGGTGGCCACTGAGAGATGCATTTGTTTCCAAAAGAATGTTCTGCTAATTGAGATCTGAAAAGTTAAAAGGCTAGGTTGTGTTTAGAAGTTAAGATCCTATCTAGCTTAGTCATAAATAAATTACATTCTGCAAAGAATTTAGTAAATGGGGCACAAAGAAGATCTGGAATCTGCCACTTGGACATGAACAGAGACCAAGGTAGTGTGGCAAAAGTTATAGGTCAGAAAAGAACATGTACATACTCGAGATGAAGTGAGAAGTGTGATTTTCCTATCCAGTAACTTCTACTAATTTGCTGCTCATTGCATAATTAATTAAAAACATTGTGTATAATGCAAATACAGTGTTAGATGATAAGCAACAATGTATTTGTTAGTTTATAATATATAGAAGAACACTTTTATGTTACAAGATTTTCTTGGAGAGAGGTACAAAGAGAGTATCATTTATAATTATATCAGCTATTGATACCTACAATATTTAGACACAGCAACTATAAGTTTTAAACAAATATCAACAAATGAAGAGAAGGCACATACATTATTAACTCATGAAGAAACATTGGGATATGGAAAATGAAGTAGAGATAAATGAGTTCTTCAAGGAAAATGATCAAGTTGGTTCGGTGACATTTTAGCTGAGCCTGGAAAATTGGAGTGGAAATCTCAAGAAGACACCACGTGGGCACCCTGGAAAAGCAGCTTGAGCATTCAGCGTGCTTGCAGGAAGACAGGGCTTAGTTTGCGAGCTCTTAGCACCAAGGCTGTAGGAGCTGAGGCATAAAGGCAGACCGGAGGCAGAGTATGAAAAGAGTTCTCAGAGCATACCACAGTCCGATTGAGGAGACAGGGCATAGGTTGGAAGATAGACCATTTCTCATGGCGTGGTCTTGGACCCTAGATGCCTTAGGTCCTCCTGAGCAAGATGAGAGATCAAATCATGTTCATAATTTTATCAATGCTTTTATTGTTCTTTAAAGTGCAGTGAAAACTTTAGAAGTCACAAATGTGTGATGATCTCACTGTTCTAATAGCTGAGGGGATGTGTGCCCGTATATCCTTGTCTTAACAACTATTCAGTTTAAATTTATAACGTGATGAATACAGACATATACACATATATTATTCTATCTCCTATGTGTTCATATATTTATATTCCACATAAATGACTCAATAGTGTTTAAGACTATAGGCCAGCCTCAAGACTAAGACATTTGAAATCTGCAGAACTGGAGAAAGGAGGGATTGAAATGCTGCACACCTGGCTTACTCTGAATGAACTTCAGTTTACTGGCTTTGAAACTATGCTCCTGTGAGAGCGGAGAGTGGTGACACATTGGGCCTTGCCAGCATTGTTATGTTAGGATTGGCCTCTCATCACTTGAAGCCATCAAACACTAAGGGAACTTGGTCACCTCTGGACATCTCATTTTCTTATTAACTTTTTGGGGTGCCCTGACCTGTATTTTAACCATGTGCTATGTGAGAGCAAGTATTAGAAGAATTCAGGTGTTGGGACTGGGTTGTGGTTTGGTGTTACCATGTTCCTTTTGAGACAAGCCAGCTGCTGCTCCACTCCCTCCTCTCCTCAGCCACTGGAGTTGCTCCATGTGGGGATGGATTCATGAGGTACGAGGTGTAGCCTTGACTTGGTTGTGCCTGTAAGTCTCCAGATACATCCAGACACTTTTACTTCTCTTTGAGCACTGGTGATGTCTCCAGTCTAGCTGTCTCTCAGTTGAACCTGTAACTCCACTCTTCTTTTTTCTGTCCTCTCATATTTGTGTTGCAAAGGAAAGATCTCTTCTTCTATTGCTGCCTTTTCCCACCCCTCCAGACACTGCTGGCCACACAATTTATGCTCAAAGCCTAGGTTTGGTCAACTAAGTGCCATGTTTTATTCTACTATCAGTAGTTGCTGTGCCTTTCAGTCTACTAGCTCGTGATCTTTGAATATTAGGTGTGATGTCACCCTTGAAAGCTCTCCATTATCTGAGCTTAGTGAAATCTCTTCCTACTGTTGTCATTTAAGCTTGTTGACCACATTTTATTATTGTTATTTCATTGCACTTGGACTTTGGTGGGAAATATAACATAATTCCCCTATGAAAGCAGCTTGACACTGTTCTGCAGCTCTTTCCTCCTTGCCTTGTGATTCCCTCACCTCTTAAGCTAAGCAAGTGTTGTTAAGTCACACAAAGCCTCTTGAAGGGCACCACTAAGCTATCTCACCTGGCACCCCCCCACTCCCAGCTAGGAGCTGAACAAGTTGGAGCTAGATAAGGAAGTCCCTGGGATATGTTTTTATTGAAAGAACTATACTAACTCAACCTCCTGGAGGCAATGCTAAAAGGAATCATCTCTGCAGTAGTTTCTTAAATGAAGCTTCACTTAAAATATCCACGGACATTAGCAAACTTTAAAACATGCATTTCAACATATCATAGAACAATAGACTTTCTACATTATGGCAGTGGGCTGCATCTTAATGCTGTAGGCTTATGCGATTTTTGTAAAATAGATAATGGCTCAATTTGTTTTGCATTTTGGATGTATTGATAGCTGAGGTTGATATTCACATGCTATCAATTTTGACAAACTGTATTTACTATTTTTTGGAATACTATTTATTTTAAAGAAATTACCTGTGAACATTACATGTTTAATGAAAGTAAAACAATCCAGTGAAGCTCAAGTAGGATGTAAATATTGATGAACACTCATCATCTGGTTCTAAAATATCTATGCATGAGCTACTGCACATAAATATGGTTCTGTAACCTACTCTCTAATTCAGTAATACATTGAAATATATTTTCTTTGCCTGAACCTACTTTCACACTGTAAAAAGGCATTATAGTATGTCATATCATCATTTACAAATCCATTTCCTTTGATACATGTTTTGCTCTTAGGAAAATTCTGTATGTAAATATATTCACACTCATGACATTATCTCTTTAGGGTAAAGTCTTAGAAATGAATTTCTTGGTTGAAGGATATTATTGCATATTAGGTAATATGACACACCCATAGAGCCCCAGAGTTTTTCCATTGTATGGACCTCTAGGAACACACATATTAATCTCTCATGAGCTTGCCCAAAGAGGCCCATTAAGTGGGGCTGGCTAGTCTCTCCCAGCAGAACTCCCAGAGCCATGCTGGGGTCTCATAAACCAGCACGAACTCTTGGCTTTGCAAATTGGAAGATGGACCCTCTGCATTTTATCTAGTGAGGTGCTGGTTTTGAGGATTAGCCACAGGAAAACTGATGTCAAATCATTTACTTAAAAGGGGGACTGCAGACCATGTCTTTTTTGCTGTACACCATTTTTAGGGGGATTGAGGTATTTGAGAGTACAAACAATTTAATTGGAAATCCTTTTGGTAATTGCAAAATTTGAGAAAAGGGATGAAGTTTACCTTGAGGGAAATTTATCTCCCTCTTACAAGAGAATATAATATTTTAGTGCTTGTTTTTAGGGCAAAATCAATGAATGTCTCTTTTGAACAGAGCTGGATGAACACTAATGAAAATTTTTCCCTTTCTTGCTTTGTTGCCAGGCTCCCAGTGACATCCTTCTGTTAATGCCACTTTGCACCACAGGCCAGCTCTGAGCTGTTACTGATTGTGCATCAGTCCCAGGGCTGTGTGCTCATGTCACTTGGTAGAGGTAGAAGTTCCCTAGTCTTATGACTTACAGCAACACACACACACACACACACACACACACACACACACACACACAGACACCCCCCAATGTATTCGTTTATTTAATGTGCCTGCTTGAACAGAAATAACAACACATCTTAAACTATGTTATTCTTCTCTAAGTGAGCATGAGTGTATGTACTCTTTTACAAATATTATTTTGAATAGATATATATTTATTGATTCTTAACACTTATCAGTACATATTACTTTCCGTGCTTTTAGGCACA